TCAAAAATACGTGTGGCGATATTATATGTCCTCAAATAGCCGGGGAAGTTGTCGACAAAGAATAGGGCATCACTATACACCTTAGTGACTTTGCCCTGTTGCGCGTATGCTTCGACGCGGACTGCCAGGAACTGCTCTAAATATCTGTGTAGCCGATCGAGTGCTGAGGTAGATTCATGAACTGCTGTCGCGAGATTGCGTGCTTGGAGGGCTTCGCTTCGATTTACTTGCAAAGTGTCTTTCAGTGAAGCCAGCGATGGCAACTCGGTCACAGAGTCCATGTGGGGATCAGGAGTTACGATCCCATCAGTACGCCGTTAATAAGTACTTTGTGTTGGGCAACAGCGAGAACAGGCCATACTATTATAGCAACGACTCTTAGCGGTCACTTATGCCTCAGTTGCCATCGCAAACGTCTATTACAACAAAGCGACAAAAGCTCGCGCGATACACGCTATTAAAAAACGAAATATTTGTAAAGGGAAACAGATGGAAGAGCTCTTTATTATTTCAAAGAATGTAAGAAAATTAACAAAGGTCAAAAAAGTGTCAGCTGAAAAAAAAGAAGAAGGCATTGGCAGTTCTCTCGTCCATTAGTTTGACAATAAACGAGAAAGAAGGAGGTTGAGAAAAGGCACAAAGCACATTTCAACCTCCATGTCCACCACAGCCTCAGTCCCAGCTCGAAGCTGGAACCTACACCGCCAATCCTTCCAGCAAGCCTTCCGGCAAGCCTTCAGGAATGGCACCAATGCCAATGCCTTTTCCGTCAATTCCTTTTTCCGTCAATTCCTCAAGCGTTATTTCAGGACTATCTGACAGACCCACCATACTCCGGAGAGTACGGCAAGTCCAGGCTACAACAGACACGCTTGTGATCGTCCAAGGCGGGACCCGATCGTTCAGGATAGCCACTGAAGGTGATCGAGCTCTTCTTCGCGGGGCCGATGCGACTAATGGTCTCCCAAAATGAACAATAGACCTCGACGTAGCGCCCACCTTTGTGTCAAGCCAGGAGTCGAACCTGCAAACGTGCCCAGAAACACTACCGACACATTCAAAAAGTTGGTGGACCTTTGAAAAAGGCCACTACGGTTATTCACAGCTGAAACACAGGTGTGAGCGTGTGTAAAGCAGCAGAAGCAGTGTTATAAAGGAATTTACCTGTGATTGGCTTAAGGCCGCGTTTATGACGATTACGACTGCGCGAAATAGAAAAGCATGGAGATAAGGGAAAGAGAAGCGAAAAGGCAACTGAGCTGAGATAGCCGGACTTTATAACCATGGGAATTCTTATCGATTCTGATTGGCCGCCGCTTGAACAGCAAACTTCTCAAAGCTGCCCCTTGTGATTTGGGTTGGTGTACCCATAATCGTATCCTAGAATGGACGATACTGCTTCTGTTGGATATGCAGTTCTGCACCACTCCCTCTTTCAATGAAGATGGTAATGAAGTACGCCATGCGCATGTATGGATAAATAACAAATAGTAAATGCACGTTATTTGCAGCTTCACGCGACAAACATGATGTGACAATTAAACAGGCCGATAAACAACTTTTCTCAGCTACACATCTACCAGCTTTTAAGATTATTATTGTCAAGTACCATACCCTTAAGCTCAAGTTTCAAATGATAGTACAGACAACAACAGCGCGACGCTTCTTGTCTTGCCCTCTCGATATCCACCTTGCCACGAGGATACAGCGACAGTTTAAGCTAAATATAATTCCCCCACATCGTTCTGCAGTGAAACTTAAGCAGAAGTGCTCAGCTGAAACTACAACCCCACAATCACTGAAGCATAAAAGTTAAATGAAGCACAAATGTGCATATGTAAATTGTCACCGTACAGTGAACGCCGGCTGTATACAATTGTTCTGAATTTTAGCCAATGCAAACTCTTTCAGATAAAAGATCAAACCACTCTATATCATGATAATGGATTGTACTGATGTTTTGCGGCATGATAAGCGCTTTTTGAAAGAAGAGCTAGAGGAGCTTCTCCTATGATATCACTCCTTACTTTTTTAGAAGTATCAATGGTATCATCAATAGTAGTGTTTATTAGTTATGAGAGCAAGATATCGAAAATACAATAGTAGAGACTATTCTCTATGTCATGCTCTGTGTGTTTCGGTATGATTTGAGATCACTACTGTAGCTTATAGATACATAGACGTTACATTCTCAAATTCTATCGTTCTAAGCAGAATCTTGGCTTGCTATGATGTTTTTGTTCAACTATAGACGTCCGACGGGCAGTGGTTTTCAATGAATAACAATACCGGCAGTTGTATGTATGCATCATAGAAATCGCTCTTGAAAGCCGTTCCTCGGCTCGTATTCAGTCTCCTTGGGAAGCATCTTTGCAGGCAGGTAAAACTGCAGCTAACTCAAGCAGAACCACTTGGATTCAATGAGATCGTATTAAATTAGCAATAATATGTTTAAAGTGATAAAGTAAACAGCAAGAGAAGCTTAACCAACGACAAACACTGTAAGAAAGATGTAGATTATGAAAGTAGAACTTTTTACTCAGGAATCTCTCCAGCAGTCTCTCCCTGCACGACCTGGTTTCCAATTTCAAACTTGCCATCACGATGAAGCCAGAGCTTGCAAATATGTTTCGTGCACCGGTCCGCAATAGTTTGGACGTGAATTTTTGCTAGTTTGGATTTGTAAGCATCCCGTATCATGCATAATGCAATGACGCCAAACAACCCTGACACAAGCCGCGCATTTTTATAACTTACTTGAGGGCCAACCAAGGTCTAGATCGTACAGAGAGGACATGTTAGAGCGTTTGTTAGAGACGGGTTTGCTCGACATAAAGTGTAGGTGTGGATAAAGAGTAGACTTTGGAACGGACTGAGGCCACAAGCATCTTTCCGTTCCAGAATTCTCATCGCATATCGAGCACATTCGTGTTTCGTTTTGGACAATGTTGTGTGTAAAATCATTTATTATTACTTCAAATTGGAGAGAGATGCGCAAAGACGTTAGAGATTGTGAAAGAGAGACTGCGTTACTTGGACGGCGAGATCCTTGTGTAATTTAGACCCGTTCGATTGTTTTGCAGGATGACCTGTCGAAAGATATTGACAGTTTGATGCATTTCTCCTTTCAGCATACCCAGCGTAATATTGCACATGGGGACGAGGAGAGATCAATATTTATGGATATCTAAATTTGTGTTCGATGACATGTAGTAATCTTCCAGCTACATAAAGCATAGTTGTTACAGGGCATCTTTCGCGCAGCAGGACAAAGCAGGCAGGCAGCTGTCGAAGGGCGATTATTATTGACTCATTCAAGTCAAGAATACATGCGTTTCCATTTCAGACGTGTGTTGTAATACTTGGATTATATTGAGATGATTAATAAGAGACAATGCAGCCGAGCACTACGCATAATCTGATTGCTTCTTCCACCAATCAAAGGGCATCCCTTTCTTTTCATGACTGAGATCACGATACCACACCGTGTAGCGAGCAGTGGTTTCGACACACAGACACACTAAATTCATATCCCGTTCCAGAAAAAAAAGGATTATGATTGCTTCTTGGTCGATTCACTCTCTTCCCTTTACTATTCCTGCCCATCATCCATTATCAGTAAAGAGTATAAAAGAACAACGGAAATTGGCAACCTGCCCCCAAAAAGAGTTATCATGGATATCATACAGCCTTCCGAATATTACGACGAAGTACGTCTTTTTTTCTTTCACTCGCGGTGGTGATTGGTTAATTAATGGTTTGTTATGATAATTAAGAAACACCCACAGCGCAGTCACCATCAGGGTATTTTCATCACGCTCACAGACATTGCCCATTGATTAACTTGGAGCTGTGGATAAAGTATCAGACTGCGTGAAAAGAGACAATGTAGCACTACATAGTAGGCTGTTCTTAGTCTTCCTAATATGTGAGCTAGAAGAAGAAGATTACTTCAGTCAGCCTTCCTACAGTAGTGCCTTCTTTTTTAGACCTTATTCCGTCGCTTTTACAACATGGCGACGAAATGTGGGTTTTACCGCTGCTGATGCTGCTATTACTAGAATATCTCATAGGCGTTGCTGTTTACTTATTCAAGACATAGCACGCATCCAAGTGCCATGCTAGATCCCCACCCCCGTTGTATTCTGTTCGTAGTTCGCAGGATCCTATGCCATTCGAATGTAAATATTAGTTTTGTAGCGTGACCATTGTAGGACAATCAATAATGCATTGGCGACACGCTTTGGGTACAGTCATGCACCGCAGGATGTCACCAAAAGAGAGCTCGTTTAGGATCACGGTGAGCATCATGTCCATACGCTTTTCAAGCATATGGTAAGCTTCATTGGAGAGGTAGAATATTGTGTCTGTCAGTGGATTATATCGGAAGTTGCGGAACCCTCCTTCACCGTTATTCAGAACCCTGCGCATATCGCTATTGCTTTCTTAAATCTCTGTTGTCTGATCAAAAATACGTGTGGCGATATTATATGTCCTCAAATAGCCGGGGAAGTTGTCGACAAAGAATAGGGCATCACTATACACCTTAGTGACTTTGCCCTGTTGCGCGTATGCTTCGACGCGGACTGCCAGGAACTGCTCTAAATATCTGTGTAGCCGATCGAGTGCTGAGGTAGATTCATGAACTGCTGTCGCGAGATTGCGTGCTTGGAGGGCTTCGCTTCGATTTACTTGCAAAGTGTCTTTCAGTGAAGCCAGCGATGGCAACTCGGTCACAGAGTCCATGTGGGGATCAGGAGTTACGATCCCATCAGTACGCCGTTAATAAGTACTTTGTGTTGAGCAACAGCGAGAACAGGCCATACTATTATAGCAACGACTCTTAGCGGTCACTTATGCCTCAGTTGCCATCGCAAACGTCTATTACATCAAAGCGACAAAAGCTCGCGCGATACACGCTATTGAAAAACGGAAATATTTGTAAAGGGAAACAGATGGAAGAGCTCTTTTATTATTTCAAAGAATGCAAGAAAAATAACAAAGGTGAAAAAAGTGTCTAGCTGAAAAAAAAGAAGAAGGCATTGGCAGTTCTCTCGTTCATTAGTTTGACAATAAACGAGAAAGAAGGAGGTTGAGAAAAGGCACAAAGCACCTTTCAACCTCCATGTCCACCACAGCCTCAGTCCCAGCTCGAAGCTGGAACCTACACCGCCAATCCTTCCAGCAAGCCTTCCGGCAAGCCTTCAGGAATGGCACCAATGCCAATGCCTTTTCCGTCAATTCCTTTTTCCGTCAATTCCTCAAGCGTTATTTCAAGACTATCTGACAGACCCACCATACTCCGGAGAGTACGGCAAGTCCAGGCTACAACAGACACGCTTGTGATCGTCCAAGGCGGGACCCGATCGTTCAGGATAGCCACTGAAGGTGATCGAGCTCTTCTTCGCGGGGCCGATGCGACTAATGGTCTCCCAAAATGAACAATAGACCTCGACGTAGCGCCCACCTTTGTGTCAAGCCAGGAGTCGAACCTGCAAACGTGCCCAGAAACACTACCGACACATACAAAAAGTTGGTGGACCTTTGAAAAAGGCCACTACGGTTATTCACAGCTGAAACACAGGTGTGAGCGTGTGTAAAGCAGCAGAAGCAGTGTTATAAAGGAATTTACCTGTGATTGGCTTAAGGCCGCGTTTATGACGATTACGACTGCGCGAAATAGAAAAGCATGGAGATAAGGGAAAGAGAAGCGAAAAGGCAACTGAGCTGAGATAGCCGGACTTTATAACCATGGGAATTCTTATCGATTCTGATTGGCCGCCGCTTGAACAGCAAACTTCTCAAAGCTGCCCCGCGCAAATTTTGTGATTTGGGTTGGTGTACCCATAGTCGTATCCTAGAATGGACGATACTGCTTCTGTTGGATATGCAGTTCTGCACCACTCCCTCTTTCAATGAAGATGGTGATGAAGTACGCCATGCGCATGTATGGATAAATAACAAATAGTAAATGCACGTTATTTGCAGCTTCACGCGACAAACATGATGTGACAATTAAACAGGCCGATAAACAACTTTTCTCAGCTACACATCTACCAGCTTTTAAGATTATTATTGTCAAGTACCATACCCTTAAGCTCAAGTTTCAAATGATAGTACAGACAACAACAGCGCGACGCTTCTTGTCTTGCCCTCTCGATATCCACCTTGCCACGAGGATACAGCGACAGTTTAAGCTAAATATAATTCCCCCACATCGTTCTGCAGTGAAACTTAAGCAGAAGTGCTCAGCTGAAACTACATCCCCACAATCACTGAAGCATAAAAGTTAAATGAAGCACAAATGTGCATATGTAAATTGTCACCGTACAGTGAACGCCGGCTGTATACAATTGTTCTGAATTTTAGCTAATGCAAACTCTTTCAGATAAAAGATCAAACCACTCTATATCATGATAATGGATTGTACTGATGTTTTGCGGCATGATAAGCGCTTTTTGAAAGAAGAGCTAGAGGAGCTTCTCCTATGATATCACTCCTTACTTTTTTTTGATCAATGGTATCATCAATACGTAGTGTTTATTAGTTATGAGAGCAAGATATCGAAAATACAATAGTAGAGACTATTCTCTATGTCATGCTCTGTGTGTTTCGGTATGATTTGAGATCACTACTGTAGCTTATAGATACATAGACGTTACATTCTCAAATTCTATCGTTCTAAGCAGAATCTTGGCTTGCTATGATGTTTTTGTTCAACTATAGACGTCCGACGGGCAGTGGTTTTCAATATGCCGCCCTGGCTTAGATCTTCCATAAATATACTGCAAACCTCCAAGGGCATTAACTAGTTTGGGCACAGTCGTTTTCACAGTTAAATTGGGTATATATTTGAACTAATTATTTCGCACCTTTTCCAATAAGATCGATTTTATTTAGTGGGAAAGTACGAAAGGTCAGGGACTGAGTGCGGATATGTGGGAAATGTATAATCAGCTTCACGAATTACTGTGTCTCATGCCATAAGGACCGATCGTTTGTGCGTCAATCGTATCATCTTTGACATGCGCCTTCCCAACCCTTATACGCGGTCCAGCATCCTAACCAGGAAATGAACGTTTCAATGTATGATGTACTATACTTTTTGCTAGCATCACATTTCTTTACAGACTCGCATATTTTATCTGAAAGACAGTCGTCGCCTTGCGCTTGCTAATGGATCATTACTCTCTTTTTTTACCTCCAACCAAGCTTCCTTGATTAACGCTTAACTAAGGCGACTATGGCGAAGATACAGGATTTTGAGCCCGTGTCCGGGATTGGATTCAAAATCCTGTATATATTGCATCAAAGCTCCAAACAAACAAAGTACACTGTGACACCTGTTCACACTCCTAAAGAATATATGCTATTCTCATTCTAACTTTCGAGCGATGGCGACCAGCAAGTTTAATTGAACTGGAAGCAGATGGCTCAGAAGCGGAATCAAGAACACGCAAATGGAATCAATGTATTTTATAAAACTGCCAAAAACCTAAAAACACATTATAACGTTTGGTGCACCAGTCAAGTTGCTGTACGATCCATCAGAAATGACGACAAAGTAACGTCGACAAGGCGACAACAGCTACAATCACCAGGTAAACTTTTCTTTCTCGTCTTTTAATATTTACAACGATAATCAATTAATTGCCGAGTCGTTTGTTTTCAGGAACCCCTCCTACCACCGACTTTCTACAACCGGTCCAAAAGACAAAGAAAGAATTTACGTCGGGCGATTCGGCGTGAGCGTACACATCAGCCTGGATATCAGCATCCTCCCCCCAACGATAGTCACGTACGGCGACGGAAGTTTCCCATCGAGTATGAAAGGCTTGGAGCCTTTACCTATCGAGGTAATTATCCGTCATCATAATTGAGGTATCAGAGAGAACATGTCCACTTTTTAAGTCATAGCACACTAAGATAACTTATTATTTCATATATACATATTAGACAATTAGGGTGGTATTGGCCCGTCGCACACTGGTAATGCTTGTGGACCAGTATTCCACAAGTATTATTTGTTCGGTTTGCCACAACAGGACAGTGTCGTCAGTACATCAAAGTACCGTTAACGCCAACCTCTCAGTGTCCATCGTAGACCTGCAGGTATATTTTATTCCATTGATGTTTTCGAAACGGCATTATTGCAAATGGAACGGTAATATCAATCTCATCATTTTGTTCAAAAAGAGAAGCTGACGAGAACGGCCAGCCTAGGGTTGGCCGTCTGATTGATCGAAATCTAAACGCAGGAAGCAACATCGGGCGTATCATAACGGCATACACTGATACCGACGGCGATCCAAACTCGCGACCTCCCATTTTGCGCCGTCCCAACTACAGAAACAGAGTCATCGATAATGTTCTACAGGAGGAAGAACTCCAGGAAGATGTAGTAGCAAGTGACGAAGAAGAAGAATAGCCGAAGAAGATGAAACCTTTGCCAGTGAAGATGTGCGGGCAGCATTGTATAAAAAATCTGGGGCGAAGTAAGTAGCATGCTTTTTAATTCTGCGGGATAAAGCGATAGCGTACAATACTTGATACAGACTAACTGTAACTTTTACGCTACGGTCAACTTCTTTTTATCATCTCCCTTGAAATTGTTAATCTCCCTTTCAAATCATTAATTGTCTTTTTTGTTGATGAATAAAGATCTCCCATTTATACCCATATGCACATCACCGTCAAGAAGAAAAAAAACTCCGTTCATATTGGGCGTACATCATCAATCGTGGTTACTCAGCAAGAACATTGACCCAATCATCAAATTGCCTCCGCCAATTTCGGAAATACTTGTTTCGCCGCTGAGAAGTGGAGCTTCATCTATAACTCATGTCTGGAAAGCGCACTGTCCTGAAGACAAAAGCACTATCAGCCATGTTTTCCTTTAAGCTAAAAAAAGGACTCCATAGTCGTTGTCTAAAGAAGGGAAGAACCGAAGAGAAATGACAGACGGAAAGTGGAGAAGCGGGTTGTTGCACAATAGTCCACACCGGAATTTCACATGTGTAATCCAGCTTTCTGACTGATCCGTTTACTTTTAGGGCGGTGTTCCAAATCTCCATTTAAACAATATGGGCCTTGCAACCGACTGAGGTTCTCTTTTCCACCATTTAAGTCTGGGGAAATATAAGAAGAAAACCATCCTTACATTTTAAATATGACCCAAAAAGTGAACTTGGAAAAGCAACTTATCGAATTGCCCAACACTCGAAAGCCTGGTCAGACTGGTAAGCCAACAACCTTGGGAAGAGGGAGAGAGACTGTGAAAGGCACATCCTACGTTGGACATGTGCATTTGCTTTGTGCATACAGGTGCATAGAGTCTGTTTGCCGTTTCTCTCTCGCCCTAACCGTTTCGCCCTTTTATTCTACGAGTGTGCGATAAGCTTGCATCCCTATTGACATCTTGTTATGTAATTCTTCAGGTGTCTACCGTAGTGCTGCCTATCCCGAGCTTATTGAGTCGAGCTCGCCCAAGGTCAAGAATATGTATGACCTTTTCCGCGAAGGTAAATAAAAGCGCATGAAAAGAGAACATTCGTATATCAGCGTCCCCTATATTTCGCACACTCACTCTCCTTTTTATGGACTGCAGGTTTGAAGGCTGCCCGTGATCGTCCTTGCTTGGGTCATCGTCCTATTGTCGACGTCAAGACCGGCAAGCGTGGTGACTATGTCTGGCAAACTTACCGTCAGGTCAACCATCGCATCACTAACTTTGGTTCCGGCTTGATGAACTTGCTCAATCATACGCTCAATGACTCTCGCACCAAGAACATTCCCATTGGTATCTGGGCTGTCAATCGTCCTGAATGGACCATTTGCGACTTGGCTTGCGCTGCTTATGGCTTGTATAGCGTAACACTGTACGACACTCTCGGCCCCGACACGGTCGAATACGTTATGAACCACGCTGAACTTGAGACCGTTGTCTGCTCGGCTGATCACATTGCCGACCTCCTCAAGCTTCGTCACAAGTTGCCCAAGCTGCGTTGCATCATCTCCATGGATACTCTCGAGGACGATGTTGCTCCTGGCACTGGTGCTGCTTCCAAGAGCGCTATCATTAAGGCTTGGGCTCAGGAGAAGGATGTTGTTTTGACCGATTTCGCTGCTATTGAAGCTGCTGGCAAGAAGAACCGTCGTTCCCACAACTCTCCCAAGCCTGAGGACTTGGCTTTCATCATGTACACTAGCGGTACCACTGGCATGCCCAAGGTAAATTTAAGTTGCAACTACCGGCGATGAATAAGGATTGGAAGGACAAGGATGAAATATGGGGTTGGTTGTGGGGAAGGAAATATAATGGAAAGAAACTAAAGTCAGGATGGGGATCGTAACATTTAGGGTGCTATGCTTACGCACGGCAACTTTGTCTCTGCCGTTTCTGCCAGTAACATCAACATTGGTGAATACTATGACGACGATATCAGCATCTCGTATCTCCCCCTTGCTCACATCTTTGGTCGTTTGATCGACATTGTTGCGTTGATGCGCGGTTCGCGTATCGGTTTCTTCAGCGGTGATGTTGCCCAGATCGTCGACGATATGCAGACCTTGAAGCCTACCATCTTTGCTTCCGTTCCTCGTCTTTTGAACCGAGTCTACTCGAGCGTTGTGCAAAAGACCATCGAAGCCCCTGGCGCCAAGGGTGCTCTTGCCCGTCGCGCTGTCGCCACCAAGCTTGCCAACCTCGATGCTGGTCTTGGTAACACCCATGCCTTCTGGGATCGTTTGATTTTCAACAAGGTCAAGCAGGCTTTGGGCGGTCGTGTTCGTTTCGTTGTCAGCGGCTCAGCTCCTCTTGGAAAGGATGTCATGCAATTCTTGCGTATTGCTTTCTGCTGCGATATCCGTGAAGGTTACGGTGCCACTGAAACCTGCGCTGCTTCTTCGGTCCACAGCAAGGGTGAGTACAAGGCTGGTCACATTGGTGCTCCCTTTGGCTGTAACGAATTCAAGCTTGTTGACGTGCCAGAGATGGATTATCTCTCCACGGACCCTTACCCCCGTGGTGAACTGTGCATCCGTGGCCCCAACGTGTTCATGGGCTATTACAAGGATGAGGAAAAGACGCGCGAAGCATTGGATGAGGAGGGCTGGTACCACTCTGGCGATGTAGCAATGGTGAACGAGCGCGGCTGTGTTGTCATTATTGATCGCAAGAAGAATATCTTCAAGCTCGCTCAGGGCGAATACATTGCTCCTGAAAAGATTGAAAACGTCTTCGCCAAGTCATCCGTCATTGCTCAGATCTACGTCCATGGTGACTCGCTCCAGAGCTCCTTGGTTGGTATCATTGTCCCTGATCCAGAAGCCTTGAACTCCTTTGTCAGTGCCAAGTTGCCGCAAGTTGCCGCAAAGAAGTTGTCGTTTGAGGATCTTGTTAAGGTCCCTGAGGTCAACAAGGCTATATTGGGCGAGTTGACCAAGGTTGGCAAGAAGGCTGAACTTCGTGGCTTTGAGCTTCTCAAGGCCATCTACCTCGAATCGTCTCCCTTCACCATTGAAAATGACATCCTTACTCCTACCCTCAAAGTCAAGCGTCCTCAGGCCGCCAAACACTACCAGGCCCAAATCGCTGAATTGTACGCTCAAATCAGTGCTCAGACCGAGCCTGCAAAGGCCATGTTGTAATACCAAAGCATATTTTTCCCTGACACTCACCGTTTTATCTTTTCCCAATTGTTTTCTATTTTCCACTTTGATTCACGCTACATCCTCCGTTTTTCTTAAATTCTTTAATTTAAAATTGTATAAAAATCATTTTCGAAACGACATGATATATGCCACGCTATGACGTGTGCTAATAAGTCGATTGTGTTGGGATTATTTTTCATCTAATACGACAACACTACTTAGCGACAGTTTTGCTCATTTAAAGCTCTTGTGGCCTCCTTCCACCCACATTTTTAGATCTAGCTTTTTACTCCAGTAGTTTGTAAAATGCACATCAGAGCCCCACTGGGCATGGCTAAGGAGTAGGATCGTTCCATTTATTCATCAATTCAAGCCCTAGACATTGTCGACAACCTATCTTCGACCACACATCTTACATATCAATTCACCCGGTGCTCCTTCCATCCACATGCCTACATGGTCCAAACACGTATGTGAGTTTTATAGCTGTGCTTCATATTTCTTTTTTAGTATAAAGAGGATAATCTTACCTGGAACACGGCTGGATAGAATTTTGCTGCAGCGAGCACATTGAAAATGGTGTGGATGATAATCCTTTCCAAAAGCAGAAGCGGCTCTACCATCAATCACGTCTCCGCATTGCTGACATATTTTAACATTGCCGCTTCGTGGGTTCTTGTAATGTTCTTCGCAGAAAGGCTTGTTATTCCGTACGTAGAATGTAGCTGATTCAAATGCCTTGCCGCAGTCCTATATGTATATAACACTTTATGAGTCTACTAGTACCATCGCTCTTATATCACTCTTCCTTTTGCATGATATATATTATATGTGTGTGATAGATATCCTTCTAACTTACCGCACAAACAAAGCATTCTTTGTGCCAATCACCACCTAGTGCACCCAGAAATTCACCCGTAATATACTCTCCACAACCCATGCATTTGTGTCCAAACTTGGCCAAATAGTCCTTTTCACAATATGGATGTCCTTCATGCACCATAAACGCGCTCGATTCGTCAAACGGCTTTCCGCATTCTCGACAGAAAAAGTGGCCCACATGATAGGTTTTCCCTAAAGCACTGATGGACTTTTCTTCGATTGGAGTGCCACAATAGTCGCAGCGTGTGCTGAACAGTTCATGGTAGTCAAGAGCACAGTAAGGCTGACCGTCCTTGGAATGGAATGCAATATGCTCGAGGTCCTGTTTACAGTGTTTGCACTTGAAGCAGTCCACATGCCACTGATTCTGGTCTACACGGATGACTCGGCCGGCAATCGGCTTATTACAGCCTGCGCAGCGAACGCCGGTGTACAAAGGATTTGCCACTGATACTCGGTCGTTGTCGTCGGCTTTGAGAGATGGAGGAGGTAGCGGTGGAGATGGTTTTTTGACAGGGATTGGAGGAGGGTGAGACCGTGAAGATGGTGATGATGAAGACGGTGGTTTGCTAGGAATAGGTGGAGGTTGTTGAGCTGGACGACCGTTCAAAGCAGGAGTAGCGGTAGCGCTAGGTGACACAGGCTTCGTTGCGAAGTCTACAGGTTTCGTTGCTACAGGCGGTGGTGGTGGTGATACTGGCGTTGTTGGTGTTGGATTGTTCGTTACTGGCGTTGCCTGTCGCCTTCGTGGAGCTAAAGAAGCTTCAAAAGCATCCACAGCACCACCTCGAGGCTTTGGAGGGGCCGGCGGGCGCGTATGTGATTCTTCTAAAGCTGCTGCAGCGGCGGCTGTCCCCGTCGCCTGCTGCAGACGGTCCACCTGAGGCCGGATACTCTCGTCGTCTTGGTAGTTGTTGAGCCGCAACTGCTTTTGCATAGGGTATATGAGATCATTGCGAGCGTCATGCAGTGTGTTGTTGGACGATGAGGCAGCGGAAGTGCGCCAAGAAGCAGGCTTCATTGCTGGTCTGGGTCCTTTGAGGTTCCCGCCAGTAACTGCTCGCGAGGGAGGTGGAGACTCTGCGTCGCCTTGGCTTTTATTATTTCGAGGCAACCCTTTTAAATATTTATCTGACAACATCTGTACGACTCAATATACGGCAAAAACGAGTGGAAAAAAGAGATATGAAGAAGAAGTTTTACTCTTACCGAGTTCGTCTTTACTCAAGTAGGACATGATCAAAACAAGGAAAAGACGCCAACGTCTGGCGAGATCGCTCTGCTTTCATGCCCTTTCTTTTTATGTTCGGCAGCAGCTCCAACTCAGAATTAAAGAGCGGGGTTTTAAAAATTCGCTGCTGTTACAACGTCACTCGCGAGCACAAACAGGCGCTTTCTTTGCCCAGCCCGTCCAACGAAAAACAAAAAGAGAGGCCTCTTCATTTTTCGGATTTCCGTCAATAATCCTCCCCGTCATTAATCAGCTACTTTCTCCCTACTCTTAACTCGTATAATGCTGAGAAACGCCATTTTACGACGAGGTAATATTTTCAATTCATTACGCGATTTGCCAGCAGCAGCAGCAGCAGCAGCCACCCAAACGAGCCAGAAAATATAAACAGTAGCACCCAATACACGAACACAAGGACGAAATAGTAACTCATTATTCAAATATATTGTAAAACATAGCAACCGCTCCTGTGGTAGCTCGTAACATGCGTGCTGTTTCGGTCACACGCCACTACGCATCCCAACCCGATCCTACCGCCAACCCCATTACCGGCAAGACGACATTTGGCAGTCTTTCCGATGAAGATCGTATTTTCACCAACGTGTATATGAAGCACGACTATCGTTTGAAGGGTGCCTTGAAGCGTGGTGATTGGTACAAGACCAAGGAAATCATTTTGAAAGGTCACGAGTGGATTCTGCAGGAAATGAAGGAATCCGGCCTCCGTGGTCGTGGTGGTGCTGGTTTCCCCACTGGTCTCAAGTGGAGTTTCATGAACAAACCCCTCGATGGTGAATATACTGCTTCTTTTTAGTTATAGGAAGGAGAGGAGCTGGTGCTCTTGGTGGTTTGATAGTTAATGACAGAAATGATAAAGAGACAAGAAGGAGGAGGTGTAAAAAGGGGCAGAAACTAAACAATGGAGGAAAAATGTTATATACTGCGTTGATTGGTTGTAGGCCGTCCTCGCTATCTCGTTGTCAACGCTGATGAGGGTGAACCCGGTACTTGCAAGGATCGTGAAATTATGCGTGGTGATCCCCACAAGCTCGTCGAAGGCTGTTTGGTGGCCGGTGCTGCCATGAAGGCCAATGCTGCTTATATCTACATCCGTGGTGAATTCTACCAAGAAGCCTCCAACTTGCAGGAAGCTATCAATGAAGCCTATGCTGCTGGTTTGATTGGCAAGAACGCTTGCGGTTCCGGCATGGACTTTGATGTGTATATTCACCGTGGTGCTGGTGCCTACATTTGCGGTGAAGAAACCAGTTTGATCGAATCCATTGAGGGTAAGCAGGGCAAGCCCAGATTGAAGCCCCCATTCCCTGCCGATGTCGGTCTTTTCGGCTGCCCTTCGACCGTCACCAACGTCGAAACCGTCGCTGTTGCTCCTACCATCTTGCGTCGTGGTGGCAAGTGGTTCGCTGGTTTTGGTCGTGCCCGTAACCAGGGCACCAAATTGTTCTGTATCTCCGGTCACGTCAACAACCCTTGCACTGTCGAAGAAGAAATGTCCATTCCTCTGCGTGAATTGATCGAAAAGCACTGCGGTGGTGTCCGTGGTGGTTGGGATAACCTTCTCGGTATGTTTGTCTTGAGCAACTATAATGTTTACCAAAAAAAAAGGCTGGTTCATTTATTAACACGTGTTGAATTGCAGGTATTGTTCCCGGTGGTTGCTCTGTCCCTATCCTTCCCAAGAACATTTGTGACGATGTCTTGTAAGTTATGAAGTACAGTGAGGTAGAGGAAGCGGATTAAAGAGAAGGAGGCTAATGTACGTGTTTTTATCAATTAGGATGGACTTTGATGCTCTTCGTGATGTTACTTCAGGTCTTGGTACCGCTGCCGTCATTGTCATGGATAAGTCGACCGACGTTGTTCGTGCTATCTCCCGTTTCGCAAAGTTCTACCGCCACGAATCTTGTGGTCAGTGCACACCCTGCCGTGAAGGTACCAAGTGGCTCGAGTCCATGATGGACCGTTTCGAAGACGGCCGTGGTCGCCCTGAAGAAATTGATCAAATCTGGGAACTTACTAAGCAGATTGAGGGCCACACCATTTGTGCTTTGGGTGATGCCGCTGCATGGCCCGTAAGTGTTTTGTCTCCATACACATATCTACACCCAATTCCTGGCCACACACCTTAACCTATGTCTTTTTTTGATATCTGTTACTTTTATTAGGTCCAAGGTTTGATTCGTCACTTCCGACCTGAGCTTGAAGCTCGCATGGCTGAATTCCAGCGCTCGATCGAGAGCCAAGCACAGGCTAATGCCAGCGCTTAGAATGTCCTTTTAATGCAATTCCCACAATTCCTTTCCCATCACAGCAACCTTTTAGATTAAAGTAAACTAAAAAAACCATCGTCCAGCGATATTGTCAACATGAATGTTTTGATATGGGTTCCGACAGATGGATATGTGCAGCACATATGGGTTGGTTGTCAATGTAAAGGGTAAAACCGGGGACTGAGAATCAGCTAATATTAAAGAAGTGGCCCTTTTACTTCACACGCATATTTGATGACCCATTGAATTGCTTCTGCGTATAATATCCCTCACTATGTCTTACTCGATAAGCACAAATGGATCTCATCTCTCTGTAACGGTATTTTATGATGAGCATTGATAAGCTCGATTTAAAACCAACTCAAGTATAGGAAAGCTTTCTGCGTAAATGTTTGGAGTTTCTTTTCGATATTGCGCAAAGGAGAATAGATTTGATTGTGCTTGTACGCTTATAGCATAGATATATCAGCGGATGACAGCTTACAAATTGGTGAATACGTATGCACTTCGTACGTGAAAAGGTTTAGTAACTTTATACCAAATAGCTGGATTTTACCGTCAAGATGGACCGTGCTGAGCGGGACTTGGAGAAGAAGCAATGTGAAGATGGAAACTCTATTCTGCAGAAAGAAAAGGGCTAAAAGGTCACACACATTTACATATTCATGAAGGGGACCGGGGGGGTGGGGGCTGGGTAATAAAGATTCACGCCGCGGCATAAGAAGGCAAGAGTCGAGTCAATTGGCGTTCTAGCTTATGCGACGCACAAGAAAATATGATACCTACTGTACTTTGCCCTTTATAGGTCCAATAGCAAGCAAGAATAACTAGGTTATGAAGGCTAGTGGTTACGGTGAGTACTACTTCATAGTATATTGGGATTAATCTCTTCTTTGTCCCGTTCGTCTGTTCTTGTGGTTCCTCATCATCAACAGTAACCTTGGACCTCTTGAAAGCAAAATAAGCATGTCGAACGCTTCAGGAGATATAGGCGCAAAGCCATGACGCGTAGAAAGATTTGGGCAGGTCACAGAATTGGGTGGAACGGCAACCAACAAAAAGGGGTGTGGAAACCTTATCACAGACCACTGTGAAGGGCTATCATCACTTAACTCAGCAAAATTCATGGAACGAGAAAAAGAGAGAGAGAGAGAGAGCGAGAGAGCGACAGCGAGTTTTATAAAAGCGCCCTAAATAATGCCCAGCTTGTTCTCCTTTTGTTCTCTTTTGGTTCTTCTTGTCGCAACCTATCTGACTTCCTTTCCGTTACCTTTTTTTCGGTTCAAAGGTATGGGACCTTCTTCTTCTGCTACATGGGTGGTGGGACCTTCTTTTTACGACGCGTCATTGCTGACCCCGCCTTTTGCGGTCAATCTTGCTTCTTTTCTCTCTCTCTCTCTCTCTCTCTCTCTCTCTCTCTCTTTTTCTGAAAAATAGATATGTCGTCACAACGTCAGGTCCTACCTACAAACGTCAAACCCCTTCATTACGATTTGACACTGAAGCCAGATCTGGGAACATTTGTTTTCTATGGTCAAGTAAAAGTCGAGTAGGTTTATCACTATATTTTTATAGACCTTATTCTATGCTTGGCGAAAAGCTCAAACCACTCAAACCGTGTTGTCTCACCCGTCCTTTCTTTTTTTTCCTTACTCGCTAGTCTTGAAGTGAAGGAAGATACGACAACAATCGTATTGAACACGCATGATATCAAGATTCATTCAGCAGTGTTTACGTCCACAAGCTTGAAGACTGAATCCAGGTAAGTTATTCAAGGTCATCAACACGCGTTTTGCATGCATACATGCATGCATACATGCGTCTGTGACAATACACACGAACATAGTACGTCTAAACTCTTTACGTTGTCATTTATAAAAATCCCTTCGCAAACTTTATTAGGCAGACGGCCACATCAATTGACTATGATGCAAAGAAAAATCAAGCCACCTTGACCTTTGAGCAGAGCATGCCTGGCAACTCCAAAGCTGTGCTTGACATTCAATTCGAAGGTGAACTGAACGATCAAATGGCTGGTTTCTACCGCTCTTCGTTCAAGGATGCTGAAGGAAAGACTCAGTAAGTCCTTTCGGTCTTCTTCAACAAACATTTCTGTATTGTCGTTTTCGGGATCAGCTGGAGTTGGGGGTGGGAATGGGGGCTAATAGATGTCTTGGCGAACTTTTGAGGTTGGATGAGAAATGGGCTGTATTGAACGAAACCTTTGCGTATCCAGGTACCTCGCAACCACACAGTTCGAAGCTACTGATGCTCGTCGTGCATTCCCTTGCTGGGATGAGGTAATACTCTATCGTTTTGTTAGAGGGCGGATTGGATTCAGGAAGTCGAGGTAGCTAATAAATAAACCTACTTCTTTAGCCTGCACTGAAAGCCACGTTCGACGTGACACTTATTGTCCCATCCGACCTTACGGCCCTGTCAAACATGAACGTGATTTCGGACAAACCATACCAGGAAACGGGCAAGATGACATCCGGCAAACATGAAGGCAAGCATGAGGGTGTCACTACCGGCAAGCACGAAGGCAAACACGAGGGCGTCACTACTGGTAAACACGAAGGCAAACATGAAGGAGATGCTGCTGCCAGCAAAAAGACCTTGAAGGAAGTGAAATATGCCACCACACCACCAATGAGCACGTACCTATTGGCATTTGTGGTTGGTCCATTTGAATACATCGAAGCTTATACCTCTGGCGAATACAACGGCCATCCCATCCAAGCACGCGTTTACGCTTTGCCCGGATCAGTGGAGCAAGGCCGACACGCTTTGAGAGTGTCAACGGCTGCGCTTGAATACTTTGCCAAAGTTTTCGGTGAGCCTTACCCTCTGCCCAAGATTGACATGGTCGCTATTCCGGACTTTGAAGCAGGTATGGAAAAAATTGCCTTTTATACATGCTGCTTTTTCGCGCAAGGGGAAAATATTAACTTTTGTGTTTTGCTTGTACGAAATTAAAAAACAGGTGCCATGGAGAATTGGGGTAAAGTTTTATTGGCTCTACAAAAGCCGTCCGATGGTTCAATTCTATGTTTTCCGCTCGTTAGTCTGTTTGTTATATTACTAACTAGAGAAAAACTACTTGTTTAGGTCTGGTTACGTACCGAAATGTTGCTGTAAGTGGTCATCTTGCATGTTAATCTCAGCTTTAAATGCTTTAAGAATACTTGAAATCTAATTGGGTTTATCTATTCAATATAGTTACTATATGACGAAAAGTCATCCTCTATCGTCTTTAAGAAGAGCACAGCTTATACAGTATGCCATGAATTAGCCCATCAGTGGTTTGGCAATTTGGTAAGAAACAAAGGAAAATGCAGCAGTGTGCGGAGCGGAATAGAATTTTCAAGTCAAAAACTTGGCTGTCAAACCTTAAGAAGAGTTCTTCTAAACGACGGTGTCATTCATTTACAGGTGACGATGGAATGGTGGGAACATTTGTGGCTCAACGAAGGTTTCGCAACATGGGTGGGCTGGCTCGCTGTGGACCATATCTTCCCTGAATGGAATGTTTGGGTTTCATTTGTCAACGAGGATGTGCCCCGCGCGCTCAACTTGGATGCCCTTCGTTCGTCCCATCCTATTGAAGTCGCCGTCAACGATCCAGCTGAGATCCACCAGATTTTCGACGCTATTTCGTATTACAAGGGTGCAAGCGTTATTCGCATGCTGAGTTCCTGGTTGAGCGTCGATACTTTCCTGGCTGGTGTGCGTCGTTACCTTCAAAAGCATAAGCTCGGGAACGCATCCACCACGGATCTGTGGAACGCCCTTAGTGAAGAAGCTGGTGTGGATGTATCGAAATTTATGACTCTCTGGACCAAGAGTGTCGGGGTAAGTGCTTTCTGTCTAGGAATCACTGTTGCATAGGACGACAATGATATGGAGTGTTGGTATTGGAATATTAATGATTTATGTTCTGCCCACTACATAGTACCCCGTCTTGACTGTTGAAGAGACTGGCAACCATGCCATCAAGGTGACCCAATCACGATATCTCTCAACTGGCGACTTGGACCCTAGTGAGGACACGTACGTAATAGGTCTTTATTCGGAAGCTGTTGGTTAAATTTAATAGTGGATTGATTTGAAAATTATAGAACTGTGTGGTGGAACCCATTGGGTATATTGACTCCTGGCAACGTCGAATCCTACACGCTCACTGAAAAGTCTCAAACGTTCAATGTACCTGAGAGCGGCCTGTACAAGTTGAATGCTGGTCAGACCTCAGTGTATCGCGTCAATTACCCCATTGAAGCTGTCTTACGACTTGCCGAGGAGATCAAGAAGGGCTCGGACGGTTTGCTTAGCAATACAGCTGACCGCGTTGGATTAATTGCTGATGCAGGAAACCTCTGCGTCAGCGGTGAGCAGCGGACAACTGCCTTCTTGGAATTGGCACAAGCATTTGTCAACGAGAAGGACTATTTGTAAGTGTTACTTGCTTGATCTTCTGCGAGATTTGGAAAGATGTGGTGTGATGGGAGAGAATTCTATATAAAAAAGTTTCAATAACAGCTGACTGATCTTAAAATATGTTTTGCTTTAAAGCGTATGGGCACAATTGAGCACGCATTTCAGCAACATTATCAGTGTATGGGCTGGTCAACCAGACGATGTTCTCGCATCATTGAAGGCATCGCGCCGCAGCTTGTTCGCACCGGTTGCCCAGCGTCTTGGATGGGACTTTGCGCCTGATGACGACTACCTTACAAACCTGTTGCGAGTTCTAGCATTGACCAATGCTGGCCGATCGAATGACCCTGATACAGTGGCTGAGGCAAAGAAACGATTCTGGGAGTTTGTCCAAGGCAATACGGATGCCGTGCACCCCAACCTTCGAGGATCCGTGTACGGCATTGTGCTACTGACAGCAGAAGACGAGGCTGAGGAAGTCAAGTTGTGGGAAAGCATACTCAAGATATACAAGGATGAGTCATTGCCCACTGACCAGCGCATGATTGCATTGAACGCTCTCGGCGGCGTCAAGAGCCAGGAATTGGTCATGCGATACCTCAAGATGAGCCTGGACGATAGCCAAGTCCGTGGCCAAGATTCTATCTATGTTTTCCGAGCGTAAGTTATCTTTTTTTTGTATGGTGTGTGCATGTATCTATATATATATGTTGCGCGTATGAGAGATGCTAATAATAAGCGCACTCTGAACATCACTTATATAGTTTGGGCACCAATCCGGATGCACGCGACTTGTTCTGGACGTACTTTAGCGAAAACTATAATACTTTGCACGCCAAATTTTCAAAGTCGCTCAGTCTGTTTGGATCTGCTGTCCGCTCTGCAGTTAGCGGCTTCACTTCGTTTGACAAGATTGGAGAGATTGAGGCTTTCTTTGCTGATAAGGATACCAAGGAATACGCTCGCCCACTGCAGCAGGCATTGGAAGCTGCCAAGGTGAATGCCAAATGGATTGAACGGGACCATGCAGTGGTAGCAGATTGGGCCAAGAAGAACGCTGCCTAAAACAGGAGGAGTCCAACACAATTAATGGGAATTACGGTTATTCTTTCTTTTATTGTGTGGAAATAAATTCTGTGGATATCACGCTCAAAAAGAAAAAGAACAAAAAAAAATTGGTTGCCATGATCAGGGTGGGATTATGTGGTGTTTTGGTTATATTAGCACGTCTATTGTCCCGGCTTAATTACGTTACATCCGACGTAAGATGGGGAAAGGAGGGATTACACCAAGTTTATTCTTTCTTTATTCTTCAAATCGCTCCACCACGCATGCAGCATCTAGCAGTGCTCCCTTACTGCTAGATAATGAGGGATGTACCTCCCGGAGTTCATGTGTGACAGCAAGTCCAGCAGATGCACGATTTTTAGAGACATGAGTATTCTTTTAAAAGGCTTGCTATGTATATTGCTGTTGTTGTTTCGCCCGGTCGCTCGCTCTTGGATTATATCATTACACAAGGTATAATTGCCAATTCATGGGGGACGATGCTACATTTGTAAGGTTGTGGTGCTACAAACTGTGGCGAGTTATAACCCGATCGTGCCCGTCCCCCCCGCCCCGCCCTACACATGGAAGAGACAGCTGAGATCATAGAGTCTCAAAAGAATAAAAAAAACGTGCATCGCTTCTTCTTCCATGTAATAACCTTTTTTTTTGATTGTTTAATTGGCGGGCAACAGACCCGACGATAGAATAGTAGAAATGGCCGCACGTGGGATTCTTCCAACGTAGCACATTCAGGTCATGTGTGCGCTTTGACACTCTCTGCTGCTCCACGCGCTTTCTTTGCGGGGCAAGTGATGAGACAGTCAAGATTTCTCACTTGAAAACAAAAACCAGCAATGACGACGACGACGACGATATCCGTCGAATCATGGTGACTGTTCTCCTTTCTCCTTGCTCGCACTCTACAGTTGATTTCGTTACATTCGATATTTACCATAGTATAGCAGCCATTTCAAGTCACAGTGCCGCAACGCACTTATAGGATAGGGAGCACACGCACCGAGAAAGGAGGAGTTGAATCAGACCGTAGTGCGTAAATCAAACCACACACCCTCCCCTTGATTTTTTTTTCTTTGCACTTGAGCGATCTCTACTTTGGTGATTAAGCAAAAAATGCCGTCATTCGATGTCAAGGTAATGGCAACTTCCCCTCAAGTCGACTTTGACAGAAGCCCTCATATATTGCATCTTTCTTTAGTCGCTTCATTTCGCGTGGTTTGTAGGCCATGTCTTGACACTTCTCGGCGGTGCATTGCACATTGCGTCTTTATTATGCTTTTATCCCAGCAACAAGCCTTATTACCTGGCATATATGGGTGCTATTGGGTCGTATGGCATTGTTGTGTATCAATCGCATGGCGTACGTTGCGATGTTCTTCATTACGCGTCCCTTTCTCTATCGTGTGCGTATTCTGATCAGCTTTTTTTTTTTTGAACGTTTTAGATTCCTTCACCCAGCGGAGTGTATGTCCACCAACTGGCACTGGACGAAAACGCCCATTATCTCGGTTTAGCCATCTTTTGGCTGCTGTTTGCATCGCAAGCCGTATCAGCAACCGTGATCCCTTTTGCAACTTACTCGGCCTTCCATGTGATCTCGTACACGCGCAGCCATCTCCTCGAGAAGAACAAGGACTTGCAGGCCAAGATGAAGACGTGGACCGACGTATACTACGGCGGTGCCATGCGCTTTGTAGCAATTATTGAGGTTGTTGCGATTCCAGCGCGTTTATTTTTGTCTGTTCTCTGGCCATTCCGTGTCACACCCTTCTTGGTGTTTTGCTTCTTTTTGCGCTTCCGATACCTCTCGAGCACGTATACCCGCCAAGCGTTTGCTGATGTCAATGCGAAACTTGACTCCGTTCTTCCGCCTGCTGCCAAGCCTACTTATGCGGGTCTGCAAAGCATGTTGAGTCGACTAGTGAATACTGCTGTTCAATAAAACACAAACAAATCTGCATATGTTTCTTTTTACAAGTTTCTTTATTGTTGTATATGGAAAAAAAAAAGTGATCAATGATGTTCTCTTGTGTGTGTGTGTTTGACATTGTATTAGAATAAAAGAGATGTCCATAACAGGTATGAAACTGCCGAGAAGAAGGAAAAGAGAAAATATGCTTGCTTGTAATAGTAGTAGTCTAAATATGGGGATGGTTTGATATGGCATAGGAGTATAAAGTGGTGTAGAGGATGAACAGAATAAGAGAAAGTTTTTAAGGGGTGGGGGGCATATTATACCATATAGTACTAATAAGAGAAAAAGCTATATACACAATAGGTGGATGCACGCGCACAGACGCAGGGTTGGATTTCTTGTCATTTTTTTGGGGGTGGTCGTGATTGTCAAGTAATAAGAGTTGTTGTGCTTGCACAGACAACGCATGAGGAGAGATAGAGAAGAGTGAAATTAAGGAAAGGAGAGATGTTCGGAATGACGAGGTTGTTGACGATGATGAAAAGAGAAGTTGTTAACGGCTGAGACGGTTCCTGTTGTTGTTGTTGTTGTTTTCGTTGCTTGTGTCGCGGTCCGTCGTGGGACATACTCGAAGAAAGAAACCTGTTCTCTTTACACCTTGAAAGGAGGAAAATGATAGGTGGTTGGCGAGGTAGAAGAAGTGGGCAATGCGGGGGGAAGATGATACCAAGGTGCATGCTGGGCAGTCCATCGTGAATGGTCTACAGGCTGTGGTCGAATCAACACGTCGGCAAGTGCCATGCTAGGTGGACTAGGAGGCACATCGGCTTCAGAATCGCTTGTCATGGGGGAGTAAGTGCCAACAGTTGTCGGAGATTTGATACTATAAAAGGCAAGTGTGAGTTTAATGACGATTGATAAAACAAAAAAAAAAAATGCTGCAAACGAAACTTACTGCTTCCATTCTGGATCGTGGCACCGCTGATGTCTCGAAAGTGTCGTTTTGCGCGTAAACGACTTGCCGCAATGATTACACACATAAGGCCGTTTTCCGGTATGCGTACGTCGATGTCGAGCTAATGATGAAGACTGAAAAGATGGATAATTTAGAGTTAGCCATGCGACCACGACAATTTTTTTATGAGATAAAATTATTATTTTCCAGATAAAATGTGATACGTACGTCGCTAAATGACTTGCCGCAGGCATTGTATTCGCACACATGGGGACGCTCGCCGGTATGCGTGCGCATGTGGACGGTGAGCGCCGACCGCTGTATGAATTGCTTGCCGCAACCGTTCCACTCGCAGTGGTAAGGACGTTCACCCGTGTGGATGCGTCTGTGTCTTGAGAGATCCGATCGTCGCGAGAAACATTTGCCGCAGTGGTCCCAAGTGCACTCGAAAGGCTTGTCGAAGTCAACCGCAGCTGTAGTGGTGATGGGTGTCGTGTCTACGTGCAAGTCGCGGACGAGGTGGTGGTGAGTAGTGGTGCTAGCGGTGCTGCTGCTGTTGCTGTTGAGCAGATTTCGAATGTCCATAGTGTTTTGCGTAGAGAGAGTAACAACGGATTATTTGGCTTAATTGGGGTAAATAGAAAGAAATAACAAGAGAAAATTGGGTCTTAAGAGGGATTCTGAAAGTAAACACCAAAGAAGAACAAAAAGTGAGCAAGAGAAAAAGGCAAGTAGTAAAGGAAAAAAAAAGAAGAAATAAAAAGCTTAAGGAAGAGGAGGATGAGAAGAAGAAGAAACCAAGCTGCGAAAAGGAACAATCATTTGGTGCTTAATTTATAGGTGATAAATGATGGGTGAGTACAAGGTTTTGTCACCCAGTCAGTTAGCCGAAGCAGCAGCAGCAGCAGCAGTAGCAGTAGCACCAGCAGCAGCAGCACCAGCAGTGGTAGTGTGGTAGTGGCACCCAGCTTCACAATCGGTTGCTGTTGCACGCTCGTGTCCTGACAACTGAGCCGGCTCCCTCCCCCAAAATTTTTCAATGCGGTTGCTAGGTAACTGCTACCAAGACAACCCCCCTTGCTACTTTCTCCATTCCCCCCCCCTTTCGCCCTGACCACGCACACACACACACACAATGGTGGACATATCACATCTCATGTGCATGCTCCACCTATCATTGCAACAAGTGCAGCAGCTGCATCTGCAAGACAACACTTCTTTTGATTGTGTACTCCGTTCCTGGGACATGAAAATAGGCTCCTGATTTACCTATCCGATTCCTTCTCGTCTTCTATTGATCGGCGCGCGCGGAGCATATAAAAAATAATAAACCTGGATTTAGAGAGGTGGGGCTTTTCTTCTTTTGGCGGACTTGGCTTGAAGTAGTCATAATTATTTTCATTATTGTCGGATGTGGTCAGAGCAGAGTACAAGGTAGCCTTTGGGGGGTGGAGTTGCTTACTGAGAAACAGGGAGGGGCTGGAGACGAAAAGGACACAAAGGCAACAACAGACAAAGCGCTCCACGCAGAAGGGCATGAGAATTACATCAGTGCCGTCGTGTAGCAGCCCCTTCCCCATCCCTAGGTCGTTGCTGTTGTTTTGGATATTAGACCATGATGACCGTAAGGATCGATGATGACTGAATGATGCTATTTTACTGACAGTATCTGCGGAGGAAAATAAAAACCCTGATTACTGAAGACGTCTTTTCGCTAATCATATCATCCCTTCTACCCCCTGTCTCTCTTTTGCTTTCTTTAGGTCTTCTTTTAACGACAATTGCAGTTGATATATGTGATGCACAGCCAAGTCTGTGGGTCTGTGTAATTGTCCAACAGATTACGATAAGCTGGACACTTGGCCACGTTTTCTTCTTGTTCTTCCCTCTTCAACTCCCTCTCCCCCCCACCCACCCACCCACCGATTCTAGTTATGTAAGACAAAGATTGCACATATGGCAGGTTCAGACAATCAGCAAGAGCCAATCGAATACGGCCCCGCCAATTATTGAGAGCGTGGCCTTGGTGTAACGATTCAAAACGTCATTCATGGATCTAAATTGCGCCCGACACACACTCGTCTGTGCTTCTGCCTTGTTCTCTTATTTCTCATGCGACATGTATAATCCATTATGATCTAGTCTTCCTTTGTCCTTTTGCCTCTCCTACTAAACCTCCCACACACCCCAAAGAAATAAACAATCCTCCTCCTTGTCCTTCTCCTTTGCCATGTGAAGTAGACTTATCAGCCTAATTGACTTATTGACACTCGCATCGGAGTTTTTGAAGGGGGTAATTTCAGTTTTAGCATGATATAACGCACGCACACACATTTTGCGGGAGAACTCGCATTTCACACGACTGACTGAACTGACTGAACCGGCTGGGCTGACTGGCTGACTGACTGACTTGCCTTACTGGAACGCAAAAAAAAAAAAAAAAACTCTCCACTATTTTTTACGCACGCACGCTTTTACTTGACCCACGTTAAAACAAAAAGGCTCCTCCTCTCCTCACTTGTTCTCTCCTACTCCCCATCCCTCCACTACCAACCCCCCCACACACACACACCCCTATTTCTATTTTCTTATTGTCCACTTTTATTCTTCGCCCGCACGCACTAGGAATGCGTCGGACTCTCTTTGTTGTTCCCTTACGATATCGTCATCGTCTCCTCCTCCGTTCGATTACTGCTACTACTACTACTACTATTATTACCACGCTAAAATGTCGAACACCTACCATTCCTGCAGCACTCATTAGTCCTCGTGCATGCCAGTCTTTACGGTACCTTCACTCGGAGAGACTTCCGGCGAGGAAAACGGTAAATGACAGTGAATGACTTTTTTTTTCTACCCTTTTATTCTTCCCTTTTCAACCTTTTTCATAAATTGCTCTTCGGAACTTGCTTTTTTAAATTAGTCTTTTCTTTCATTGACTATCAATGCTGACATTATTATGAATAGTTATCGACAGAACGAATAATATCTGAAGCAGACATGCCACAGGTAAACAAAATAATAAAAAAATAAAGTAGCGGGGGTGTATTTGCAGGAATGATACCACTTTTTGTTTATTGTTTTCTGGAAACCTTATTAACCTTGTATATAATTTCGACCATGTAGACGCATGTTTTGCATAGAAAAGTGCTCGGTGCGCGAATGTTTATATTGAATCGACCAGAAAAGCTAAATGCACTGACCCTGACAATGGTTCGGAACATGACTCCACAATTAAAGGTAAAAGGGGGGGGAGAAAGGATGATGACGATGATAGTGCATCGGCTTTTGTTGTATAAATTGGGTGGATACAGCTATCAGACGGGATGACCTCATAACGACCCACTTTACGTTCTTTTAGGCATGGGATGTTTCCAAGCTAGCAAAGTTCATTCTAGTTGAGGGCGTGGGCGATGGGAGGTTCTGTGCCGGAGATGATATATTAGGTATGCAAACAATAAACAATAAATGGCGGAAGGGGGTTGATGACGAAAGAAAGAGCGAGAGAGAGAGAGAGAGAAAGCTTATATATACAAGTCAGCAAAAGGGGCGGGAGACCGGGGGTTTGATGCAAAGTGGATCAGCGAAATCTTACGTTACCAACATCATGTTTAGATATCCTTCTCAAAGTCAGGTCAAAGGATCCGGATTCTTTGCACTTTTTCCAAGAAAAGTTTCGGCTGGCCCAAATGATTTCGACATTGCAAACTCCTTATATCACCTTGCTGGATGGCTATGCTTGTAAGTTGGCACAAACATGAATGGCAACTTCGGATTGATGCGAAAGCTGTACTTCTGGGATACATACCAACTGAGAAAAATCCAACCTTTTGGGATGAATAGTGGGTGGAGCAATAGGTTTATTCGCTCATGGACCATTTCGCATTGCCACAGAACGAACCATCTTTGCAACGCCAGAGGCAGGCATTGGCTTGTGTCCCAGCTCAGGAGCTAGCTTCTTCCTATCCAAATTGGACGGGGAAATTGGAACTTACCTGGCATTGACAGGGAGTCGGGTAGAAGGAGTTGATACATTGTGAGTTGATGACGCCATGATGAACCATGCCACATTGAAGGGGGAGAAACAGACGAGCGGATATGACTAATACTTGATTATGGGTGCCTTTTTAGCTATACGGGCATTGCGACACACTATGTACCGTCTGTACGATTAGGGGCGTTGGAGGACAGGCTCATTGATCTTGAAACATCCGACCACGAGATCATCCATCGGGTGATTGAAGAGTTTGTGGAACCTTTGTCGGCCGATAAAATAGGCATGCCACAATCGATGCGCCAGACGATCGACAGGTACCTTGTAATTTCTTCAATTTCGCAAGCTATATAACTGACGAGCTATTTCTTACAGATGCTTCCGATACAATTCGATTGATGAAATACTCGCTGCACTCGACCGCGAAAAATCAACGGCATGGATCCGAGAAACACGACAAAAGCTCCTATCGACCTCACCCACGAGCCTCAAAGTCACTCTAAAAGCACTACGCAAAGCGCGCCATTCGATGACCCTCTGTGAAAGTCTAAAAATGGAATTCGATCTTGTCCAAAAGTTCATGGTGACCAGAGACTTTGACCAAGGCGTCGACTCCTCCTTCCTCAGCAAACCACGACGAAAACCGCAATGGGATCCACTTCATATCTCTGATCATGAAATCGACCAATTGTATTTCAGCAGGCCATCGCCCAACGACCTCACTTTCTTGTCCAATCTGGATATGCGCCAATACCCTTATGCCCGATACGCCCTGCCCTCTGAAAATGAAGTGCGGCTGTCTATCACTGGCGAGGGCTCCGAGTTTCAACCACAGGAGGGGAACACGAATAGCGGGCGGTTAAAAACAAAGGCCGAAGTCATGGACTGGTTTGTCAAAGGAAGCCGTGGGAAGCGAGGCGTCAGAGAGAAAATTCAAGATATTCTGGATCGCAAGACCGTTTTGGCCGAGGACGGATCTACTTTGATCTGGAAAGAAGATGACGATCGCTATCATCATCCTCATTATTAAAGAAAGACTCCTCGCCGCTCCCCATATGTTGTGTACATACAATCCTCTACATACAAACTAGTTCTTTTCCTTCCCTTCCTTTGTTATATATACATTGATATCACTACCCTATTACCATCATTTTTGCTTTCACATTCCTTCTCCCTCCTCTCTCCTAGCCTCGTCACCACGACTACCGCCATAGCACTGTTTCTATATTATCAAACGATTACTATACACCACTGCAATGTATGTCTCCTTTTTATCTTTAAAAGTGCCCGAAGAGATATCTTCAGCATATTAAACCCTGCTTAAACCCAGGGAATCCTTCAAATTGTAGAATATATATAATTCTAGATACTAAAACTCTTTGGTGGCAGTATTTATGCCCTTTCCTACTTCTTTTTGTCGCCATCTATTACATATTATAGCTAACTTAACTTTCTGAATATGGAACTAAACAGGGTTGAAGCTACAGTATCAGGTACCACATAGTAGACGCTTTGCTTCGCGACGAAACTACTTTGCCTTTCTCTAATCATAATTTGTCAACGGTGATAATTTTATCATTCATAATAAAAGTTTGTGATTCACTTCCTTCGATAATTGTGTATATACGATGAAAGAAAGCAAACAATAACTGTATATTACGCATCTAGGCTTTGTTCGCCTTTGCTTATCTCTACCCAAATTCATATTCTGTTGCCGTTTCCTCTGCTCTTGGTACAATTTCTCCTTTGTATAAACGTGGGCGCCTTTGGCACATCCCGGCGTACAACCATGCGACTTAGTACAACTTGATTTACCATTAAACTTTTAACCGAGTCGTGACCATATGCATCCAGCTATGATGATACTAATAGACATTGTGACCACTTTCTTGCAACACATCTTTGTGATGTAAGTGAAAGATGAACAGCGTGCAGCGTTAGGAGAGAATCGGAGAAACATTGCACCGCTTATTACCTCATCTTTGACTCAACATTTAGGTGAAAGCCCACACAAAGTGCTCGCTGCACGAGCCAAGCGACTATCAGTGAGTTGTTGTTGCATAAAGCTGTATTGTCCGATTTTGAACGTTCTTAAAGAGTTTAAAACACCAAGGTTCTACGATTTCTTTATAGTAGCCGTTATGTATGTATAACCATCAATGCATAGAAAACAGAGTTGACAAAATGCACTTTTTTAAGGGAGCTAAATATATAGTTGAGCTTTATGACTGGCAGGCATGTATCTGCAAAATATCATTGCCAGTTATCCAGTAGGCCATGCCACACGAGTGAATAAAGTTTAAGGATAAAATGCAGTACCCGGTTTTGCCCTGAAACATGAGCTTCCTTTCGAACGTACAACTCATTTGGAGCTTCCGGCAAATGATAATATATACGAAGGACGACGTCGAGAAAAAGCAAACTAAGGCAGAACTTGCATATAACGTCCGCAAAAATCCAACAATCAATGCTTGGTTCGTGCCTTGCCCGCCAGAGCCAAGATTGACATGGTCGAAAGGGATACGGCTCACAGAAAAGCAACTCTGATGACACAGCACTGAAAACCACATTAGCGCTACATACCACCGCCGTCGACACTGCAACAACGAGCAAACAGCAGCATGAACGGCAACTGCAGCTTCCACTAACATCTTACAAAGAAATGAGCAACTCTGGTGGTGTCTCACTCGCACAATCCGTGTAGGACGAGCGTGGATGCATCATTGATGGAAAATACCATGCTATAAGACGATTTACAGAGCACAAGGGCAATCGTTTTCATGCTGCTTGCTTGCGCCGCCAATTGACAAGTACTAAGGTATCCTATAGCGCGCGATAACTTTGCATGCTCAATCCCTGCTGCCCTTAAAATGGTTTGCCTTGTCCGTGCTCGCGCTGTTGCAGCACCTCTACTGCGCCCGCCAATGTCGACCCGCCGCATCGCTAAACTTCAGGCAGCTTGATGATAAGAAATTGACGCAAGATGCTCATGTACAGTACCATAGTCCGATTGGCCTTCTCCGTCCTTCTAATTCTTTTCTTGGTATATACCTAGCTTTTTTTCTGATGTATTTTCAAACCCTTTCTTGCAAGTATTGCGCAAAGCCCACCACCTAATTTTATCCCCTAGGTACAACTACCGCTTACGGCTACTGCTACTACTACTACCATTACTGCTATAAATAACATCTTCATCTCTGTTACATCTACAATAAACTGTCTTCATTCAGCTTTATCAGGTGATAATGACGTGCTGGATTGCATTAACGAGGCGGTTCGTAGTAGCCTTGGTCACTTCATCCACGTTTACGGAGGCTCTTTGCAGGCTGGCCAGCTGCACCTGCGTTTCAACTACTTTTTATTACACCTCTTTGGCTCTTTGCACATGCTGTCAACCACTTTCAAAAGCCATGAATGCAAACACTGTATGGAAAAAATAAGAGTGGGAAAAACATTAGCTTTTTTATTCTCTTTCCCTGAAGAGAACATCTGCGAATCACTTGCTGTTTCCGCCTCTGACATAGATACCAAGAGAGGATGTTTTCTGATCAGAAACGTTTAACTTGTTTTTTCTTGTTTCACTATGGTGAACGTGTAGTTTAGGCGTCACGATTTTGGTATCCCACTTCATTGTAATGTACTACACTCCTTCCTTTATGATCGCCAGGGCTTTTATGTGTAAGTTCAGTTATTTATACGATGAAAAAAGTTTGATAAGTCCACGCTCTACTGTCAAATTACATTACGAGTAAGGATGATACTTTTCGTCTTTTATTTTTTTTTCTTGGAATGAATAATCTTTGTATACGCAAAACGCCCATCAGGGATTTCGCCACGTTCGCCCCTATTTACTATATTCTCCACAGAAGGTTATATTATTCGCGACTGTATGTAAGTAATACAACTACTCATGTTGCTCTTGAGCACAAGCATTTCGTCGACTAGTGGCAATAAGACAGTTCCTTTGCCATTTTACAAGATATCTCTCGCTTTTCAATTTCAAACGCAATGGGAGTGTTCAAATCCAAAGAATGAGCCATCATTTACGCCACAACACCTATTTTTCCTCCCCTTTTCTTTCTTTCTTGTTTGTGTACATCAACAAATGTTGCTGTCTCCTTACGAGCTCGTCATTCATCGGCGACATAATGATGTTCACGAGTTTAAGTTGTATTCCACACAAACAAATGTATATTTTTTATTGGAGCAGGAAAAGAGAAAAAAGAAAAAACGACTTTATTATGCCTTTTCACCGGTTGACGCGTGCAAAGTTAGGTTTTTCTAAACTGAACTTGGGCATCGGATTGACGACATCTTCTGGTACAACCATCCGTCCCAATGTACTCTTCAGCTCTTTGACTTCTATGCCTGCTTCAGAAAGCTCTTGCTGGCCTTGTTCTTCACTTGATTTCTTCCTGTTTTTGTTAAATAGCAATGATTTGCTGAAAAGTGAAGAAGATGATATTGAGCGCCGCGATGGCGCACTGGTGTTGCTGTTGTCTTCGACGGCAGCTGAGAACCGCATCGACGCGGTTGTATCAGAGGATGACTGTGTCATGGTAGGGGAATCGGGGCGATGCTGTGCTATGGATGCTCTTCCGGATGATAGCGAACTGTAGTTGTTGGAGGATTTAGACACTGCTGCTGCTTTAGCAATAATATCTGCAATGATGTCTTGATCGGATACACCGTCAACAAGTGTCTTGTCTTCACTGCCGGAATTTTGCTTTTGTGCTACACATGCTTGGTGGTGGTGTTGTTGTTCTTGTTGTTGCTGGAGTATGGCGGTATCGTCTGTAAGGTGGTACATAGACATGGAGGATTTGGGCGAATCGATAGGCAATGAAGAAGCAGTAAAGGTAATCTTAGGTGACTGTTCGGGGGATTGCTGTTGCTGTGAGGATTCTTGCTGCGATTGTTGTGGTGGTGATGGTGAAGACTGTTCTTGTTGTTCTTGTTCTCTTTGTTGTTGCTCCTGCTGCTGTTGTGCTACTTCTGCTGCCGTCCGTGGCGGATGGCATTTGGTCTTTGGTGGTGGGTATTGAATGGAAGCTTTGCCAGACGTCAAGGATGATACAGATGAACCTCGTACCATTGTTGCAGGGCGGAACTGCTCTAGATCCTTTTTGAATAACAGAATCCATACAAACGTCAGTCAAACGCAGTAGGATATATGCAGTTGCAAAAGAAAAGCTTTTTTTTACCTTTGCACCTGATAAGTCAATGACAAACTCATCTTCAACTTCTTCACTTTCCTTCACAGGATCTGGCAACTCCTCTGATGTGACCACAAAACCAGCACGCTTCAGAAGCTTGGGCATTGCCAGACGATAGCTCAAGTGACCCTTGACAAGATCTGTGCAATCCACGTTCTGAACCCTATTGCCTTCGATATGTTGTAAAGGCCGCAACCCTGCCACGTTGCCTAGACCGGCTGTGGAGGCACGAAACAAGAATCCAAGTAGCCAATCGCTTGTTGCATAACCATTGATAAAGCGACCAGCAACCACCGTTGTGCACTCTTTCCACTGTGTTTTAGAAGCGTTTACAGGTGTACCAAATAAAGCGACATTCTCCACCAGACCGTATGCATTGACCCGCGCAAGTTCCAGCAGGCAGTAGAAAATGACACGAGCACCTAACGAGTAGCCTACCAAAGTCACCGGGCGGGCACCTAGGTTTCTGTTCATGAGCGAGTCGGCAAGAATCAACCCTGCCAGCCTGGCACGATCAAGACCGTTGTTCCACGGATTATCAACAAGGTAGCCAAGTTTGGTAAGCGCGAGCGGCCATGCGAGACCAGCCAGGAGTGCGCCCATGATGGTATGCGCCAACGCTTGTTGGATCGAAAATGCAACGGCTTCTGTGGCAAAAATCTTGAACGCACTGCCCAGCGCTTCAAGCATTTCTGGATCCCAATACAATGTATAATGATCGCCCATAATAGAATCGAGCGTACTGAAAGGCAATGCAGCTGTATCTTTGGTTGCTCCTTTCGGCAGCCATCTATAGAAAAGCACTGGATTAATTTCTGTTTCCAGGTGGGAAATCAAGGAATTGCGCAATGTAGTTACCCTGATATGCTCACAATACAGCTAACACTCTCATCAACGGTGACGGGCGAGAATTCAAATGTATTAATCATCTTCATTCGCTTTTTCATACTTCGAGCTAGTAATTGATGGCAATATTGAGTTATTTAGTATATCTAGAATGAGTATAGATTATTTGATCTCATATTTATGTGCTTACCTCCAATGCCTGGGTGTTAAGGTGTAAATCCGTAGCGCAAGATAAAAAAACATGGAACTTATCAACATCAAATGCAAATTGAAAAGCACACAAAAACAAAACAAACTTATTCGTCTGTAATTTTACCTCCACCAGCAGCGGTAGCACCACCAGTAATCAAAGCGATACCAGCAGTTCCTCCCAAGAAACCGGATGTTCCCGTAACACCCACGGTTGTAAGAATGGTACCAATACCGCCTGCAATGACTGGCGCCATTAGACCTGCGCTTAAACCGAGAATCAAACCGCCTCCAATAGTTGCCAGACCAATCATGATGTAACGTTTTTTGCGTCTTTGCTTGTTACGGCTCTTACGCTCGACTTCATTTCTAACAGATACTTCGACCATATCCGTCATGTTTGTCTGCGTTGTGGCGACACTCGTAACAGTCTCTGTTTCCCAAGCAGCCCCTGCGTTCTGCATTAGATGTACCGTAATGCGCTTCTCAAAGCCGATCACCTGGAACCAATCTAATTCAAGATAGGAGGCCATGCGAGCAATAAACACTCGGGAGCGTGTATCGTAGTTTTCGGCGCTCAAGCAGAGAAGGAATAGGTCGCACATGACCGTCCAACGCAAGTCGATTACAAATTGCCCGTCCACGCCATTTGCTGCTGCTGCTGCTGCTGCTTCGGCCGTATTGTTTGTTTCGCTGCATGAAGACGAGGAGGATGGTGGTGATGAGGACGATGATAACACGGATGTTGCTCCTGCACCAGCAGCAGAGTTTGGGGTATCAGAGGGCGCTGTAGTGGAGCTGGAGGATTGTCGTTGTTGAGGGTTTGTGCTTGCGGGTGGTGACTCTAATGGTTTTCTCATGTTGTTATCATTATGTTTACTATCGGAAGATTCAGTTTTTTCGTTATCGCTTGTTGATGCAGATTCTTGGGCTATGCTGTTTATGTTGCTGTTATTATTGTCCGCAACGGTATCATCATCGTCGTCGTGATCACTTTCAGAGTTCTTTTCTATCGACATCTTTTCTGTTTTTTCTTGTTGAGTTTCTGTGCTGTTAATTACTGGGGAGGTCGGTCGACTTGTAGTTGCACGTGCTGATGACGATTGTTCTACCGGCTCTTTCTTTGTTTCCGTACTTGATCTAGACCCTTTTCCTGGGGAATTATGCTGCTGTTGCCGTGACTCCTTATCAGTTTGTTGCTGCAAGTCATCCTGCTTCTTGGGTTGTCGAGGCTGTTGGACTTCCTGATAGCCTCCCATATTGACAGTCGTGGTTTCTCCCTGTGCCGTAAACTGATGGACCAAATCGGTAGGCCGGATATCATGTCGAGCAAGGGATTCAATCATTTTCCTTTCTTTGGACCCAATGAAAAGAACGGTTAGATCCGTGCAACACACGTTAATTCCCTCCTAATTTTCTTTTCCTTCTCCCAACACATCTTGTTTATATAAGGATTTACTTACCTTCTGGTGAAATATCCATGTGCATGTATATCGTTCTCATCAGCTTTCGTTGCCAGTTGTCCGCACTCATCCGTGCATACGTAAAGTCTTTTCCCTGGAGATCATGAACGACCTCGAGACTGGTCACTGCGCACAGACCAACGTATGCGATTTTTTGTGTATCAGTAAACACGTCTTTGGTTTCTTGTATCTGGGGTTCAGGGCTATCATGCGCATCTTCATCATCATAAGTCTTTCCATCACTGCAGTTCTCTTCATTAGAGTCTTGACGGTGGTGTGGTGATGGCGTCGGCGACGATTGGAGCTCGAATATATGTGACGGACCCATAGGGGTATGCTGCACAGAGTCAGGGATCTCCGGAAGCGTAGCTGCCCAGGCACGGATGGCGTTGGATGACGATACAGGGATGGCCGATGGCTTTGCATCTTGCTCGGCCATCATTTCATTTTGCTTCGCCAACGAAGCTTCTGTGAGTACTGTTGTTGGTGTAGACGTTTCAGCATCTGATTTCTCATCAGCACCAACAACAGCAAGAGTCGAAGATGACAACAATGTTATCGGAGGTGATGGGGGTTGTTCAATTTGTGCAACGTTGCTGCTGGTGCTGTTGTGTTGGCCCGCGCAACCATTAGTATTTTTACCGTCTTTCTCCTCGCCAGCAGTCGTCGTCGTGGTACATTTGCCTCCTTCTGGGCGCGGAGCTATCACAGCTGGATTGTTGACAGGGGCTTTTTTATCTTTGTCACTATAGCAACCGTCGTCGTCGTTGTCGTCGCTACTAGAAACGACACCGGCATCGTTGTTGTCTCTTAAAACGCTGTTCGAAGTAAGCATATCGTAATTGCGGGAGATTTGGTTGTGTTTGGTAGATAATTCCGTCACTGGTGGTGCGTCAGTTAAGAGATCATCTCGGGAAACCGTCGTTGTCGTTACTGCTGGAGCGTCGTTGTGATCCGATGACGAGTTACTGTTGGAATGCTCCATATTATATATATGTCGTTTGAAGGTATATACACATGCGAATGGTGGAAGGGAGAAATGGGGGGAAGCACGGAAGTGATGAACAGCCGGAGGGAAAGAGAAGAAACTAAAAGAGAGTGGTGGATATATGTATGGCCGCTTCTGGTTGGGTGTTTTCCAAGAAGCTACAATAAATGGAGAGATAATAGAAAAGACTCCGACCTTGAAGGGATGATAGTGATGGTGTGTGCAATATGTGGTGTAAAGATAGCACAGAACAATTTATTTGTTGCAGTAAGACGGGATTTACCCACAATAGAAAGGGACAGTTCGCCTGGTCGATCTTTCCAAAGGTAATTCAAAGTCAGGTGAATCCGGTATCTGTAGATCTTTTGTTTCTCACTCATGCAAAGCGTACAAATGCATTTTGGGTAGAATGGGGGAGAGAATATAATTAACCAAGTACTAGGTAATACGTGGAAGGAATAAGTAGTGGATTATTGCATTATTATAATGAGTCCTTTCCCTTTCTAGAGTACAAAAGAAGAAGGTATACCGGGCATTGAATGAAGGTATATATATATATATATATATGCCAAGCATACTACCATTACGTTATTTTTATTTTTACTTCCCAAACGGCGGCAACTTCTTCTGGTTCCTTTTGTATCAAAATCGGCATTCAGTCACTTTCTTTGAACACTACTATGTCGGACAAATAATAAAAAAACTTCTTCTGATTTAAAATTAGCTTGGTGCTACATAGTGCCATAATGATCATGCCCTCTTCCTCTTTTAAAGTGCAACGTTTCACCGATGTGTTCGATCCTTGCTCTAGCCAACGAAACGATGACGTTTTCTTTTCCGTAAATATCATTTCTAAGAAAAAATCAGTAAAACTGGCAAAAAGTACACTAAAGAGCTTGGAAAAATTGTACAAGGGCTAAATGCAGCTGTGGAAGTTACGAACAGCCTACTACAATACTGTGTACGTGATGATTTTTAAGGCCGGCCTCTTTTCCCTGCGTTGAGATTCATGCGTATGAAGTGTACGATATCATCCAAATTCTCAGATTACCGTTTAAACCTTTGAGACCTTTCAGGGTCTTGGAAGGTCGTTCTAGTGTCCGAAAGGATGTAAACGGCTACGAACGGCAATTGTATCTTTCGGATGCTATTATATCCCTTGACTGTCTTTACTGGGCTTAGCATATTAGTAGCCATAATAACCCAGAAAATCTATTGCTTTATGATATTTGGCTCTATTGAGGAAAATCCAATTTCAGAGCTAGCAGAAAGAAATACAATGAGAAGGAGCATAACATAACGAAGGTTTATTACGATATATGTTTATACATAAATACTGCACGGCTCACCCAGGCACGCGTACTTTCCTCTGTTGCCACATTTTAACAAACTGTTATACCTCTCTTTGAATCGCCTTAAATACTTAGAACAATTTTTCCTTCAGCTTTTTGTTCTCACTTTTACTGATCAGATAATAGTGCCACACACACAAATACCAAAATTAAAACATATTAGAATAAGCTGTTTTATGAAATATGAAGGTGCTTGTGCTATATTATGCGATCACGCTGCTGATGAAGGACGAGCAAGAGATACATATACTTCATAGAGAGAAAATGTGGGGTTGTATCTTCTTGGGCATTACACAGCTAACACATCGCATGACACGGTCGACTTTAACATGAACAAAGTGGAACCGGTAATTCCTTTTTACAAGGGACATGGTTTTTTATGCGTGTGTACGGTTGAGCATCAAAATGATGCCATCCACTTGGGTCGATCAAAATTGCTGCGGTTGCCAACGCTTCTACTCCGTTCTGCGAGGTTGCCAAAACTTTCTGACGGAGTCAATCGTGATGGAAACCTACGACGAGTGTAATCGGTCTGAATAGGAGGACACGCGATGATATGGTGAAACGCTCGCTTTCTCATGGAGAGTTGTCGACTCTGAAGACTAAGTAACATTATGTTACGGAAACCTAGTGAGTGAGGCTTCGCTCCAACTCTTTATCTGGGTGGAACGATCAAACATGTTGAGACTTAATACCAGAGCACTGGACTAATCTTTTAAAGCACATGGGCGATTGCTTTAGAAAGCTTGCGATGTCGCGAAGCGACAATTGGTAAGTTATGCTCACTTTTTGATGCAATATGCATTTGAATAGCGCACTTTAAATTAGCATACTCATTGTGCATAAAGTGGATAGCAAATTCGAGCTTTCGAATTTTCGATAAGGACGATGCGTTGCACCCTAAATCCAAATATGCGGATGATTGGAAACACCAACAACATTATAGAATAGATTACGAGCACCTGGTATCTTATATGAACACTGTTTTACAGTACATACTGCGATCTCGGCTTAAGGTTTCTACAGTGGCTCTTGCTCTTCCTCACCCGGGGTCGCGCTGGCAGCCTCGCTGAGACGACATACTTCGACAGCATGTAAAGATATTTCTTCTGAGCTGTCAAGCTGGACATTTGAAGGCAAGCTGAAACGCTCTTCCGACTGATAAGCTTTCCCTTGTTTCTTCTTTCTTCTACTTAGTCATATTCCTATGTATTGCGATATAGCAGTATACACATACTACATTATCTCCATCTTATCGCCGTTTGACAGTTTTAAATTTTACTTCTTCTTCTCACAAAATCAAACCATTTTATAACCGACTAAAATATGGCGCGGCTTTCAAACCCGATAACATAGGGGAAGTAACTTTACTTTAAAAGATGTGGTTCTGTTAATATTATTAGAAGGATTTAAAGAGACATGGTTTGTGAAGCAGCTTGTGAGTATCTTGTTGCAAACTGAGTTCATTTAAGACGCGGCCCTGAATAGAAATCTGATGGGTATGGGCTTTAAAACATGTTCCGTAGTACTTGTTCTTGAATCAAACATTAACCTACATTGTTATATTTTTTTCACCTATGACAACTCTAAAAAAAACTGCATTATTGGAACCAATTAAGAGCAATCGAATCAAAGACCAATCCGACATATTAACATGATAAGGTGGAAGGACAAAACAGGTTCTTCTTTTCGTGGCGCTAATAAAGAAGCTTTCAAGCAGCAATATTCTTTACTGCGGTGATTTACTGTAAATAATGTATGTCCACTTTTTCCGCTACAGCTATAAATACTGCTGGTACAACGACTCGGTAGCAACTGATATACTGCCTTCATAACTAAAGCAGTCTACTTTATTGATGGGGCGCATTTGTATTTGGACGCTAGAGGTGAAATTCTTGGATTGTCCAAAGACAAACTACTGCGAAAGCATTTGCCAAGGACGCTTCCGTTGATCAGGGGCTAAGGTTAGGGGATCGAAGACGATTAGATACCGTCGTAGTCTTAACAGCAAACTATGCCGACTAGGGATTGGACTTGACTCTTATGGCTTGTCCAGCACCTTAGCGAAAGCAAAGTTTTTGGGTTCTGGGGGGAGTACGGGACGCAAGGCTGAAACTTAAAGAAATTGACGGAAGGGCACCACCAGGAGTGGAGCCTGCGGCTTAATTTGACTCAACACGGGGAAACTCACCAGGTCCAGACATATGAAGGATTGACAGATTGAAAGCTCTTTCAAGATTATATGGGTGGTGGTGCATGGCCGTTCTTAGTTCGTGGAGTGATTTGTCTGGTTAATTCCGATAACGAACGAGATCTTAATCTGCTAAATAGGCAGACCAACTTTTTAGTTGGATTGTGTACCTTCGGGTACCGCTGACTTCTTAGAGAGACTACTGAATTTAATTCAGAGGAAGTTTGAGGCAATAACAGGTCTGTGATGCCCTTAGATGTTCTGGGCCGCACGCGCGCTACACTGATGAAGGCAGCGAGTTTATAACCTTGGCCGATAGGTCTGGGTAAACTCTTGAAACTTCATCGTGCTGGGGATAGAGCATTGCAAATATTGCTCTTCAACGAGGAATTCCTAGTAAGCGCAAGTCATCAGCTGGTGGGCCGTTCGTCCAAGATCCAGAGACTGGGAAAAAGCATGTTCGGGAGGATATCACCATTGGTGTACCACACACGATCACATCAAGTCAAGCTTATAAGTGCAGGCGCTTTTTATACCTTGGAGAACCGCAGCTATTTGTTACATTCAGCTGTAATGATTTCGCACCAGAAATAATACGAGTTGTCAATTCCGACGAGCCGTGGTCCGATCCTGTTTTGTTTGCCAACCACTTCAAGCACATGTGGTCTGAACTTTTTGAATCACGAATCAAAAGGACATTCGGTGCAACTGTTGGCGGCATTAAAGACTTTTATTGGGTTCTCGAGCTACAAGCCTGAGGTAATTGTATACTGTTATTTTATGTGTGGTACTAAATCACGGTGTCAAACTTACAGTCAGGAGTGATATACGCATTTTTATTTAGGTAGTCCGCACATCCACTGTGTACTTTGGACTGGGGACAATTTCGACCAGTTGGTTCGAAGCAATATTGTTTGTGCAACGTTTCCACCTGCAGATACTGATTTGGCTCGTCTGGTTTCTAGGCATCAGATCCATCGATGCACGTCATACTGCAAGAAAGCGCATTTTCGCGGGCGAAATGTAGGAGTTGTCGAAACGGTGTACGATGTTCTTAGCTGGCACAAAGAGCAAGGTAGCCGCAAGGTCATATATACCAGTACGAACATGCCCGAGAACGAGTATCGGGTGATGCGTCGATTGCGACGTGGCTGACATAGTGCCGACAATGACAACATGATCGGGTCTAATACCGCTCTACAACACACATGGAAACCACCTATACAAGTACTCCAGGCCAAAGGACAATGAAATCCAACCCCACAAGATCAGATCTTGCATGTCGAGGATGAATATACAATGCAGAAACGTCAGACGCCCCCGCAAAGCTTCAATGCCGACAACCACGCTGCCGTGATCGGGTCTAATACCGCTCTATAACACACATGGAAACCACCTATACAAGTACTCCAGGCCAAAGGACATTGAAATCCAACCCCACAAGATCAGATCCTGTATGTCGAGGATGAATATACAATGCAGAAACGTCAGACGCCCCCGCAAAGCTTCAATGCCGACAACCACGCTGCCATGATCGGGTCTAATACCGCTCTATAACACACATGGAAACCACCAATACAAGTACTCCAGGCCAAAGGACATTGAAATCCAACCCCACAAGATCAGATCCTGTATGTCGAGGATGAATATACAATGCAGAAACGTCAGACGCCCCCGCAAAGCTTCAATGCCGACAACCACGCTGCCATGATCGGGTCTAATACCGCTCTACAACACACATGGAAACCACCTATACAAGTACTCCAGGCCAACCCCACCA